CAGCTCCATCTAGACTGACACAAAAAGCCGGACAGCTCCATCTAGACTGACACAAACAGCCGGACAGCTCCATCTAGACTGACACAAACAGCCGGACAGCTCCATCTAGACTGACACAAACAGCCGGACAGCTTCATCTAGACTGACACAAACAGCCGGACAGCTCCATCTAGACTGACACAAACAGCTCCATCTAGACTGACACAAACAGCCGGACAGCTCCATCTAGACTGACACAAACAGCTCCATCTAGACTGACACAAACAGCTCCATCTAGACTGACACAAACAGCCGGACAGCTCCATCTAGACTGACACAAACAGCTCCATCTAGACTGACACAAACAGCCGGACAGCTCCATCTAGACTGACACAAACAGCCGGACAGCTCCATCTAGACACAGACAGCCGGACAGCTCCATCTAGACTGACACAAACAGCCGGACAATTCCATCTAGACTGACACAAACAGCCGGACAGCTCCATCTAGACTGACACACAAACAGCCGGACAGCTCCATCTAGACTGACACAAACAGCCGGACAGCTCCATCTAGACTGACACACAAACAGCCGGACAGCTCCATCTAGACTGACACAAACAGCCGGACAGCTCCATCTAGACTGACACAAACAGCTCCATCTAGACTGACACAAACAGCTCCATCTAGACTGACACAAACAGCCGGACAGCTCCATCTAGACTGACACAAACAGCCGGACAGCTCCGTCTAGACACAGACAGCTCCATCTAGACTGACACAAACAGACGGACAGCTCCATCTAGACTGACACAAACAGCCGGACAGCTCCATCTAGACTGACACAAACAGCCGGACATCTCTATGAATGTGACCAAAGGCTCATGTACCAACTGAAGAGATAACACCTAACAAAAAAAAAACAAAAAAAAAACAAAAAAACTTCAAACAGTGAAACATGAAACAGATAATCAAAGATTACATTTCTATGATCTCTTTCCTGTAGATCCGTCCTGTTCGATTATGTGTGTCAGCTAAAAATAGAATATTTACTATAGAAGAATATTTAAATACTTTCATTCGTCATAGATCTAGATGTAGAACAGTTTTACATTCGTCATAGATCTAGATGTAGAACAGTTTGCTATGGAAACAGTACGTCAAAGCTCAGAAAATCTATTTAAGAAAACAACAACCGCGAGCTTAAACTACACTTGAGCAAACTTTGGGCATGAAATCTAAACCCCACCCACCCCCACATAGTCAACTTATCTCCCTCACACACACGCCCACACATAGCCAACCTATGTCTCACACACACACATTCCCCCACAAAGTCTTACACAAGTGCTTTGTCTCACACATACATGAACGACACATGTAAGTCCCAGTCAGCACCTCCACCCCACCCCTCCCCCCCACACACATTAACATGCAATAAAGGATTAAGATTAATTACCAGTAAGTAGGGCCTATAGACCTGAAACTCACAAGATCGTGTACCTTTAAGACAAACAAATCAATATTGTTTTTTCCCCTACCTACCTGTAGGTATCGAAGTCCATCGGTTTCAATGTTTCAACTTCTTAATCAATACAGGTGTATTTTATTCAGGGGAGATGAGTTAATTAAATCTAAGACCTATCCGCCCTCAACGGCAGTATCAATTGAGTTGTATTTTATTCAGATGTGATTGGTTAATTTACTCGCAGCCGACCTCAATGGTCATGCACGAAATTTAACGTCAGCTGATCTGCCGTTCCATCGCTCATTAAATTTTTATCCTAATGAGACCGGGTGAATTAAAAACTTCAAACTACCTGCGCTCATGCAATAATGGGCTGGGTTCAAAGACCTGTGCAGGATATAGCAAAGAGAAAAACTTAATCAATAGAATATCGTATTCGCCGGTAGTGATGTTAGGGTCAAGGTTGGGGTCAAACTCCATATTCAGAGCTTGGATTATCGTAAGGGTTTACATTTCTTTTAACGTACGCATTAGGGTTCATATAAACTAAACTAAACGAGGCTTCAATAGGCAATAGGCTCTAATCAAATATTTTGTTTCACAATTGGGGCTACACCTAAAATAACCATGCAGCAAACAGACCACACTATCCCTTAATGCAGGGGTCTCCAAACTTTTCAGTCCGAGGGCCGCATTAACTATCAAATTTCAGTTCGGGGGCCAGTTTCTTCCATGCATGTCTTTGATTTTTCTGGGCCAAGTTCCTCAGCCATCACCAACAACGTTTTTTCCGTGGAGAAAAAGATCTCCGCGGGCCGTAGTTTGGAGACACCTGCCTTAATGTGAAATTTCATCAACCTAGCTGTAACGGTACTCAAGTAATCGTGTTTACACACAGACAGACAGACAGACAGACACACACACACAAACATACGAACAAGATTGCAAAATTATGTTTTTCCGTATCAGTGAGGTGTAAAACGTCGAGATTTGTAAAAATCTCGATTTTTTTTTTTTGCACGATTACAATACTTTCTCTGTACTTCGTATATACGAGAAAGTAAAAAAAATAATAGCACGCATTGCTTGTTGATATTTTACTGTCACAATGTGTTAACAAGCTGTGTCACAAATTGAGTTTTTCATGTAGTCAAAACATGGGGGTCTGTGAATTTGCGAAGTGGGTGGTAATGGTATACAAAAAGATCAGGACCTGTTGCGTGGACTCTCGTGGGTGGTAATGGTGGTATACAAAAGTATCTTGACCTGTTGCGTGGACGAGTTACTCGTGGGTGGTAATGGTGGTATACAAAAGTATCTTGACCTGTTGCATGGACGAGTTACTCGTGGGTGGTAATGGTGTTATATAAAAAGATCTAGATCTGTTGCATGGTCGAGTTACTCGTGGGTGGTAATGGTGGTATATAAAAAGATCTAGATCTGTTGCATGGACGAGTTACTCGTGGGTGGTAATGGTGGTATATAAAAAGATCTAGATCTGTTGCATGGACGAGTTACTCGTGGGTGGTAATGGTGGTATACAAAAGTATCTTGACCTGTTACATGGATGAGTTACTCGTGGGTGGTAATGGTGGTATACAAAAGTATCTTGACCTGTTGCATGGACGAGTTACTCGTGGGTGGTAATGGTGGTATACAAAAGTATCTTGACCTGTTGCGTGGACTAGTTACTCGTGGGTGGTAATGGTGGTATACAAAAGTATCTTGACCTGTTGCATGGACGAGTTACTCGTGGGTGGTAATGGTGGTATACAAAAGTATCTTGACCTGTTGCATGGACGAGTTACTCGTGGGTGGTAATGGTGGTATATAAAAGTATCTTGACCTGTTACATGGACGAGTTACTCGTGGGTGGTAATGGTGGTATATAAAAAGATCTTGACCTGTTGCATGGACTAGTTACTCGTGGGTGGTAATGGTGGTATACAAAAGTATCTTGACCTGTTGCATGGACGAGTTACTCGTGGGTGGTAATGGTGGTATACAAAAGTATCTTGACCTGTTGCATGGACGAGTTACTCGTGGGTGGTAATGGTGTTATATAAAAAGATCTAGATCTGTTGCATGGACGAGTTACTCGTGGGTGGTAATGGTGGTATATAAAAAGATCTTGACCTGTTGCATGGACGAGTTACTCGTGGGTGGTAATGGTGGTATATAAAAAGATCTAGATCTGTTGCATGGACGAGTTACTCGTGGGTGGTAATTGTGGTATGTAAAAAGATCTTGACCTGTTGCATGGAAGAGTTACTCGTGGGTGGTAATGGTGGTATATAAAAAGATCTTGACCTGTTGCATGGACGAGTTACTCGTGGGTGGTAATGGTGGTATATAAAAAGATCTAGATCTGTTGCATGGACGAGTTACTCGTGGGTGGTAATGGTGGTATATAAAAAGATCTTGACCTGTTGCATGGACGAGTTACTCGTGGGTGGTAATGGTGGTATATAAAAAGATCTTGACCTGTTGCATGGACGAGTTACTCGTGGGTGATAATGGTGGTATATAAAAAGATCTAGATCTGTTGCATGGACGAGTTACTCGTGGGTGGTAATGGTGGTATATAAAAAGATTTTGACCTGTTGCATGGACGAGTTACTCAGCCAGTGGCTTTGTTGAAGTGGGATTTGTTTCTAGAAGGGCCATGGCTTATGGGATGGCAAAAATAAAATTTCGACTTTCGGAAAGAGTGAGGGCAGGCCAAAAATAGGTGTCAATCATGTAACAGTTGGGGACTGATGGCATTCGATGTTGTGACAGCTCTAAATGGCCATTTGACAACTACGCCATGTTTTGATATAGGTTGCCAGTTAGATGACCACTACAATATATTATGTCAGTTAGATACCCACTAAATATATGTTGCCAGTTAGATGACCACTACAAATATGTTGCCAGTTAGATGACCACTACAATATATTATGTCAATTAGATGCCCACTACATATATGTTATCAGTTACATGTCCACTACAATATATTATGTCAGTTAGATACCCACTAAATATATGTTGCCAGTTAGATGCCCACTACACTATATTTTGTCATCCGACCACTACAATATATTATGTCAGTTAGATACCCACTAAGTATATGTTGCCAGTTAGATGACCACTACAAATATGTTGCCAGTTAGATGACCACTACAATATATTATGTCAATTAGATGCCCACTACATATATGTTGCCAGTTAGATGACCACTACAAATATGTTGCCAGTTAGATGACCACTACAATATATTATGTCAATTAGATGCCCACTACAAATATGTTGCCAGTTAGATGACCAGTACAATATATTATGTCAGTTAGATACCCACTAAATATATGTTGCCAGTTAGATGCCCACTACACTATATTTTGTCATCCGACCACTACAATATATTATGTCAATTAGATACCCACTACATATATGTTACCAGTTACATGTCCACTACAATATATTTTGTCATCCGACCACTACAATATATTATGTCAGATACCCACTACAAATATGTTGCCAGTTAGATGACCACAACAATATATTTTGTCAGACACTAGGCAGACGGTGAGCAAGAAACAAGGGAAGCAGACGCCGGTCACCCTGACCCCTACCATGTACACACCTCCGTCTTTCAACTACAGCAGCCGATATTGGAGGTAATTATCTTCTCTTTGGTCCGTGACATTTAGAGGTTAATTATGGGACAGTAAATGAACAGACGGGCACTTTTACACAAGAAAAGACTGAGTCAGAATATATAAGGGAATAAACGGTTTGATTTCAATAGTTAAATATAATTTTGAAAATGCTAAAAAAAATTCGTCAACATTTTGCAACTCAAAACATAATACGTTTGGTTGTCATTTATTTGGATTAAAAATTGTAACTGGATACGCAAACGTCATGCGACAGCCGGCGAAACGAAACTTCTGACATTTTAACGAAACAAAAAGTTTACCGATTAAAAAAAAAGCACGTGTTAATTAAACAGTCTTAATGATTTTATGCCTCGTGTTCAACAGCTATAAAAAACAAAGGTTAAAGGTCAGAGATTCTGGGAAGGACATTATATTTAGTTTATAGAAAATAATAAGTAATAATTTTAAAACCATATGTATTATGAATAACCCTAATTAGCCATTGAAATAATTAATAATGGAGGCGGTCGAGTTGACGTGATTTGGTCCATCATTATTGTTGACATCAGAGTTTCTTCCAGGCATCTCTTCGGGGGTGTCCGCCCCCTCCCCCCCGAAGACAGTCTACCGCCCCCCCCCCCCGAACGAGATGGAATTTAAATAGTAAAAATATACTTTTACTAGTGTCCCCCCCGGAAAATGTTGACCGCCCCCCCCCCCCCGAAAATATCAAGAGCACCCACGGAGAAAAAAGTCTGGAAGAAACACTGGTTGACATGGATATGAACAACACGTGTTTTTATTTTCAATCCCGTCATCATAGCGCCATACAAAAAACAAGGTAATTAAAAAGTCTAGTGACAATTTTAGCGCAATTTCCTTATGTTATCTAAAAATAGCTCTGTCGTAGCGTAAATCAAGAGCAGGGTTAGTAAAACCATTGGTTAGTTATTAAAACGTTTTTTATTAATTTTTTTTCAGTATTTTACATGTTTTATTTACAATAGAGTTACATGACTAAAAACCATTGCGCGCCTACTGAACGTGATGGCGCAGCCATGGAACGCGATGGCGCAGCTATTGAACGTGATGACGCGTGTGGTGTGGTTGGAAAAAATGCCTACTAATTCGGTCCAAATTTTAATTAATTCAAAAATTTTTTTGTGACCGAACGAAAGGATATTTTTGAAAACTTTCTTCGGCAATATTGTTCTAAATTATGGCAGGAATCGATTGGTACATGTTTCAAGTCGCTTAGTGGTCTGGTTGCCGAGATATGGGCCAAAAACTGCTTTTTTCGAGGTTTTTTGGCTTTTCCGGGAAATCCATGAAAGAAACCCGTAATCTTTATGGCCTATGTTCATCCTCGTAACTTGCTTAACATAATTGCTTTTGGAACTAGTCATTGATATTGCTTCGTTGAGGAGGAGATACGACTTAAAGCTGCGGACACACATCCATCCATCCATCCATCCATACATTCATACATCCAGAAATGACGGGTTAATAAACGCAATTCTCCAGAATGGAAATTGCGCTAAAAAAAACTTCACTTATGGCTGCAAACAATTCAGAAATGTAATTTTATTGAGAATCAATGGTATAAAAATTGCAAATGAAGAGAACTTAAATTATTTTTCACTGTTAAGGCTCCATTTCTATTTATTTTCATCTAGCCTAAATTATAACCTGTTGTTTCACTTTCGTAAGAAAAGCGTTGATTGGCTGTACAGAAACTCCGTGAGCGATCTTCTGTATACACTACATTGTTGTTATTTGTACTCAAAACTTAGCAGAAACAAAAAAATAAAAAAATTCAATACTTTTTAATTAAAGCCACATGGCCTAGTTATTAGGCCACGCTTGTTTACATTTTCTGTGACAAAATGAAAACCAAATTTTCTTGGTTTTATTAAAAAAAATTGTTTAGTTACTGAAAATATAAAAAGCATCAGGCAGGCCTACATCCAATCTCTAGTGAAGTCCGACAAAAACCGAACAGTTACAGTTTTATTTAAATTGCTTCCTCTGTCTAGATTGAAACGGGAGAGCGAAGTTTGGGGCACTTCTAACCGACCAACTTCTCTGAAATTCGGCACGTAGGCCAAGACCCAATGACAGTGCACTATGACATTACATTTGACTTCATTGGATGACTAATTAATTAAACCAATCGAGACTATTCACGGCTGCGTCCATTCTTTCTTTACATCCATTTTACAAAATTGATAAAGTTTTTACGCATCAATGTGCATCAGGCAGATGTTTTAATAACTCCATGAGAAATGTTTAATATTGGTCACTAAAATAATTCTTGCAATGTTTATATCCCAAGGTTGTAGGCCTATAAGCCGATTTATTTATTTGCATTACCACTGTGTTACTGCCATAAACTTTAGCCACCCATTCCCTTTAGTCTAAAAGCACGATAAAAAACAGGATAAATCGATCGATTCATGAAAAGCAATAACATAAAATAATTTAAAAAAATATAACAATAAAATAATAATAATTTAAAAAAAAATCCAACTATATGTCTAGACTGGCTATTAATTATACGGCCTTACACATCCCCAGTGCCATGTACCAGGATATAACAAACATCAGCATCTCGGTGCCGCCAATGCCAGGTGTACACAGCTACCTGCCCCACCTGAAGGCTAATCCTGACAACATCTTACCTGAGTTCTTGTTGTCTAAGGGCAGGCAGAATGGTGAGATCATTTCTTTCGTTAGTTCATTGTGTGGTCCAGATGTGTGGTCCAGTTGTGTGGTCCGGTGGTGTGGTCCAGTAGTGTGGTCCAGTAGTGTGGTCCAGTAGTGTGGTCCAGTAGTGTGGTCCGGTGGTGTGGTCCAGTAGTGTGGTCCAGTAGTGAGGTCCGGTGGTGTGGTCCAGTAGTGTGGTCTAATAGTGTGGTCCAGTAGTGTGGTCCAGTTGTGTGGTCCAGTTGTGTGGTCCAGTAGTGAGGTCCGGTGGTGTGGTCCAGTAGTGTGGTCCAGTAGTGTGGTCCGGTGGTGTGGTCCAGTAGTGTGGTCCAGTAGTGTGGTCCGGTGGTGTGGTCCAGTAGTGAGGTCCGGTGGTGTGGTCCAGTAGTGTGGTCCAGTAGTGTGGTCCGGTGGTGTGGTCCAGTAGTGTAGTCCAGTAGTGTGGTCCGGTGGTGTGGTCCAGTAGTGTGGTCCAGTAGTGTGGTCCAGTAGTGTGGTCCAGTAGTGTGGTCCAGTAGTGTGGTCCAGTAATGTGGTCTAGTAGTGTGGACCAGTAGTGTGGTCCAGTAGTGTGGTCTAGTCGTGTGGTCAAGTAGTGTGGTCCAGTAGTGTGGTCCAGTAGTGTGGTCCAGTAGTGTGGTCCAGTAGTGTGGTCCAGTAGTGTGGTCCAGTAGTGTGGTCCAGTAGTGTGGTCCAGTAATGTGGTCCAGTACTGTGGTCCAGTAGTGTGGTCCAGTAGTGTGGTCTAGTACTGTGGTCCAGTAGTGTGGTCCAGTACTGTGGTCCAGTACTGTGGTCCAGTAGTGTGGTCCAGTAGTGTGGTCCAGTAATGTGGTCCAGTACTGTGGTCCAGTAGTGTGGTCCAGTAGTGTGGTCTAGTACTGTGGTCCAGTAGTGTGGTCTAGTACTGTGGTCCAGTAGTGTGGTCCAGTAGTGTGGTCCAGTAGTGTGGTCCAGTAATGTGGTCCAGTACTGTGGTCCAGTAGTGTGGTCCAGTAGTGTGGTCTAGTACTGTGGTCCAGTAGTGTGGTCCAGTACTGTGGTCCAGTACTGTGGTCCAGTACTGTGGTCCAGTACTGTGGTCCAGTACTGTGGTCCAGTACTGTGGTCCAGTTGTGTGGTCCAGTAGTTTGGTCCAGTAGTGTGGTCCAGTAGTTAGGGCCAGTATTGTGGCCCAGTACTGTGGTCCAGTTGTGTGGTCCAGTCCAGTAATGGCCCTCTAACACTGACTTAAAACTGCTGACCCGACAAGGTAGGACTACATTTTTAAAAAAAGATCTAGAGCAAGAAAACTTGCCTGACAACGATGACACTATCGGACTTAATGGGAGTTAATTTTTAATTCGTGGTTCTTGCCCTTTGTTTAGAAACCTTGATGTCTTTTTTTTTCTCTCCCAAAGTTAGCTTCGTGATTGGGATTCCTAGCATCAAACGGCCAATCGATATGTACCTGTTCAATACTTTAAAGTCTTTGATCAACGGCTTGAATGAAACGGAGAGAGGTGAAACCCTGCTCATTGTCTGTATTACTGAAGTAAGTGTCGTTTGCGTGACATTTGTCCCTGAAGTGAGTGTCATGGGTTGTGATATTGTCACTGAAGTGTCCTTGTCCATGATATTGTCACTGAAGTAAATGTCATTGATTGTGACATTGTCACTGAAGTTAGTGCTATAGCCCGTGTCAGTGCACTGTCATCGTATGTGTCACTTAGGCCTCACTGTCATGTGTCAGTGAATTCAAGTTGTATTAATTGTGTCTTCCACTCCTGTGAACTTTTCTCATCTCATCATAACTTCAGAAAAATTGTTTGTATTTATCCCGGCTAAATTAGTTTGCTTGTAATGAGAAACATAACGCCAGGATTTAAAAATATAATGTCATTGTTTGCGGGTAGAAATGCAATGAGCTTCAGTTAATAAATCAATCACATAGGCTTTATATTTCAGCCTGCTGATGTAGCATATGAAAGGGGAGTAATCGAGGAGATACGAAGAAGGTAACGCTAACATAAGTGTACTTATCGAAAAATGATCCTCAGATTTCTTAACGAATAGAAAATCGATGTCAAACTATCGATTTAATTCCCGAAAACAATCAACTAGTTTAGAGTTTTTTCTAACAAGTTTTGGACAGAACAAACGTCTCATTGTTTGTCAAACTCCACATTCATTAATACAAATAAAGATGGGACAGATTTGAGTACACATACTGGCATTTGGTAATAAATAATTTTTCAATACGAAAATATATAAAAACAAATTTGGCTTATCTTTTTTTTTTACCGTAAATGGCATTGTTTGGTGGGCTACGTCAATCGTTTAAAATTTCATGGAAAAGCATTTGCAGGGGCCCTTATCGTTAAAGCGGTAGTCATTAAAATGTATGAGCAGGCAACGAATGATTGACGCAATAGGCAACGACCCCCTCGCACGACTGACTGACGCAATTTGAGGCGACCACGTCACATCGATTGATTAAGTCAATGACCTCCTCACGCCACCGACTAATTTAGGAAATACCCTCTCACACTCAGAGGCGTAGCGACCCTTCCCGGCGCCCGGGGACAAACTTTCAATTTGGCGCCCCCCTCGGGAGCAAATTTTCAATTTGCACCCCCCCCCCCCCCCAAACTTTCGATTTGCACCCCCCCCCCCCCTCAAACTATTTATAATGCAAACGTGCAGCTAAAATGACATTTTAATTTGTTTTTACAACCCATTTTTGCGCCCCCCTAAGGTCGGCGTCCGGGGACATATGTACCCCCCTGCCCTCCCCATCGCTACGCCTCTGCTCACACTACCAACTGATCTAGGAAATGACCCCTGACACCACCAACTAACCTAGACCCCCAGACTGACCACCGACTGACCCCGTATGATTTGACCCCCAGGTTCCCCCTGGAGGTGAGCGAGGGCCTGCTGGAGGTGATGACGCCACGAGCCAGCTTCTACCCGGACCTGGGTCGACTGAAGCCCTCGTTAGGGGACTCGCCCACACGTGTCAGGTAGGTCGGTGAGGGGGGGGGGGCTGGGGTGGAGGTGGGAGGGGGAAAGTGGAGAGACTGTCACTGGGTGGGGGTGGGGGTGGCGTATAGGACGGGACTTACTGGGAACTGATTGATTTAATATTCCAAGATTTTCAGAGCCACAAACAAATAAAATAATTGAACGCAATAATAAATGCGGAACAACTAACAAACATACTTAGTGAACGTAATAAAGGGCTGAAAAACAACAACTGCGTGTTATTGCTGCCCCTGAGATAATGGGATTAAAGTATTAAACTAAAGAACTTCCAACTATTCAAGGTCACTCGACCCCTCCGGTGTGCTAATGACACCCCTGCACGCTGTAATGACTAGAATTTAGACTCAGGTAAGGGAAGTGGGTTCAAGACTTTCTGTAGACTCAGGTAAGGGAAGTGGGTTAAAGACTTTCTGTAGACTCAGGTAAGGGAAGTGGGTTCAAGACTTTCTGTAGACTCAGGTAAGGGAAGTGGGTTAAAGACTTTCTGTAGACTCAGGTAAGGGAAGTGGGTTCAAGACTTTCTGTAGACTCAGGTAAGGGAAGTGGGTTAAAGACTTTCTGTAGACTCAGGTAAGGGAAGTGGGTTCAAGACTTTCTGTAGACTCAGGTAAGGGAAGTGGGTTAAAGACTTTCTGTAGACTCAGGTAAGGGAAGTGGGTTAAAGACTTTCTGTAGACTCAGGTAAGGGAAGTGGGTTAAAGACTTTCTGTAGACTCAGGTAAGGGAAGTGGGTTCAAGACTATCTGTAGACTCAGGTAAGGGAAGTGGGTTAAAGACTTTCTGTAGACTCAGGTAAGGGAAGTGGGTTCAAGACTTTCTGTAGACTCAGGTAAGGGAAGTGGGTTAAAGACTTTCTGTAGACTCAGGTAAGGGAAGTGGGTTAAAGACTTTCTGTAGACTCAGGTAAGGGAAGTGGGTTAAAGACTTTCTGTAGACTCAGGTAAGGGAAGTGGGTTCAAGACTATCTGTAGACTCAGGTAAGGGAAGTGGGTTCAAGACTATCTGTAGACTCAGGTAAGGGAAGTGGGTTAAAGACTTTCAGTAGACTCAGGTAAGGGAAGTGGGTTAAAGACTATCTGTAGACTCAGGTAAGGGAAGTGGGTTAAAGACTTTCAGTTGACTCAGGTAAGGGAAGTGGGTTAAAGACTTTCCGTAGACTCAGGTAAGGGAAGTGGGTTCAAGACTTTCTGTAGACTCAGGTAAGGGAAGTGGGTTAAAGACTTTCCGTAGACTCAGGTAAGGGAAGTGGGTTAAAGACTTTCAGTTGACTCAGGTAAGGGAAGTGGGTTAAAGACTTTCAGTTGACTCAGGTAAGGGAAGTGGGTTAAAGACTTTCCGTAGACTCAGGTAAGAGTAAAGCTGACCCCCGTGCTGACCGCAACCAAGCAAGGGAAAGAGTGATTGCTGCTAGGACCATAAGAGAATTATTGCAGCTAAAATTTAAATAGTTTTGAAATACCTCCACTGGGGTCAGAGTTAAAACCAGGAAGAGGCCTACTATACATATTTAAAAACAAATATGTATGGTATTCGGAAATTCCCATTCGTCCACCCCCACCCCCTTCCACAGAACCTACAAAAGTTAATATTAGCACATGTACAAGTACACGGCAATTTTTAACCAATGTTTAACTTTTAGTATAGTGCACTCCCCTTCCACCCCCCCCCCCCCCACACCACACACTTTAACCCCATGTCGGCCATTTGTCCGGATCCCTTCGTATTTACACAGAAAAGCGACCAAACAAGTTTTCTTTAGATATAATAGTGCACTACCACACATTTATAACAATATCATATTTATAACAGTACCACACATTTATAACAATATTGATCAAAACAGCGTGGGTTGCTCATTACATCTGAATAATAGTATTCACTCTCAAGTACTAGCGCTATCCAGCTTTAGCAATAGATATGCTATATATGTAGGTATATATATATATATATATATATATATATATATATATATATATATATATATATATATATATATATATGTATATATATATATATATGTATATGTATATATATATATATATATATATATATATATATATATATATATATATATATATATATATATACATATACATATAGAATGTAAGTCAGGGAAGAGTTTTAAAATTACTCATCAAGTTAAGTACCATTGCAAGCAAGAATTTTTTTTTTACGATGCGCTATGGTTTAACCTACCAGCGCTTACATTCCTGACAAAGATTACAAACAGAACGGGTTACCCCGCCGAGATTGTTTCAAAATCCCACCCACTATCTAGATACCTGCAAAACTTTTATTGTCTTTAACAGGCGACTACACGACTGCCAACATTGGGGCCTACGACAATTTGTCTCCTGCCAGTAAGGCTCAAACCAGGGCATGTGACGGGGATGGTTTTCTCTGGGGTTCCTTTTTGTCGGGGGCCTAAAGGCGGGGAACAATTTAGGGACTGTTTAACTCCGCATTATTCCCATTTGCTCTTTTTAAATTAAATTTAAAATGCGCTCTACCATCCAACCATCCCATATTTGATGACATTGATGGTGACACAAAGTTTTTTATTTTGCTACAGATGGAGATCTAAACAGAATCTTGATTATGCTTTTTTGATGTTCCACGCTTGGCACAGAGGAAGATACTATCTTCAGGTATTTTAATCATGTACTCATAAGTGGGGGATACTATCTTCAGGTATTTTAATCATGTACTCATAAGTTTAACGTTAGAAATTTGATAGTTCACATGGGGAGCAGGAATGGGTCACTACGCCTCAGGTCACAGATTAGACGGCAGCCATGTTTCACTAATTAAATATCAGTCGTGTGTCATTGATTAGATGACAGTCATGTGTCACTAATTAAATATCAGTCGCGTGTCATTGATTAGATGAGTCATGTTTCACTAATTAAATATCAGTCGCGTGTCATTGATTAGATGACAGTCATGTTTCACTAATTAAATATCAGTCGTGTGTCATTGATTAGATGACAGCCATTTGTCACTAATTAAATATCAGTCGTGTGCTATTGATTAGACGACAGTCAAGTGTCACTAATTAAATATCAGTCGTGTGTCATTGATTAGATGACAATCATGTATCACTAATTAAATATCAGTCGTGTGTCATTGATTAGATGACAGTCATGTGTCACTAATTAAATATCAGTCGTGTGTCATTGATTAGATGACAGTCATGTGTCACTAATTAAATATCAGTCGTGTGTCATTGATTAGATGACAGCCATTTGTCACAAATTAAATATTATTCGTATGTCATTGATTAGATGACAGCCATGTGTCACTTATTAAACATGAGTCGTCTGTCACTGACAGCTAGAGGATGACATACAAGCCTCACCAGGGTATGTGAACAGCATGAAACAAGCTATAGCAGAGAACTACGGGGACTGGTTTCTGCTGCAGTTTTCTACTCTAGGGTTCATAGGTGAGTAGGTTTCACCGGAGATTATTGTTTGGTAGGTTTCATAGGTGATTAGGTTTCGTTTGATATTATATTGTTTGGTACGTTTCATAGGTGAGTAGGTTTTTTTGTTTGGTAGGTTTCATATGTGAGTAGGTTTGATTGGAGGTTTTTTATTGTTAGGTAGGTTTCATAGGTGAGTAGGTTTGATTGGAGGTTTTTTATTGTTTGGTAGGTTTCATATGTGAGTAGGTTTGATTGGAGGTTTTTTATTGTTAGGTAGGTTTCATAGGTGAGTAGGAGTGATTGGAGGTTTTATTGTTTGGTAGGTTTCACTGGTGTAGGCTTAGTTGGCAAGCTGTTTTTATCGGCACGTATTTTCTATCGGCAATTATCTATTGTCAAGTGTGTTTTATTGGTAGTTTCTAGAATAAAACCTAGAGATAGACATAACACTTTATACACGCCAAAACATTAGCGCATCGATAAACAATTGGTGGATTCAGTGAAAGCTTCTCAAACTTTGATGGTGTTTCTCTATTTGAATGGAGGAAATGCACGTCTTAATATCAGGTTTTCTCTACTTAAAGTGAGGCTATTCAGGTGTTAAAACTTTTTATTTTAAATTCAAATTGAAGGGAGGCTATTCCAATAATAAAACTTTTTCCTAGTATTTAAAGGGAGACTACTCAACTATTAAAACCTTGCTGATATTTTTCTATTTAAAGGGAGGCTACTCAACTATTAAAACCTTGCTGATATTTTTCTACTTAAAGGGAGACTATTCAAGTCGGAAGACGTGCCGAAGGTGATGGAGTTTTTGCTGATGTTTTTCTCACAGAAGCCCTGCGATTGGCTGCTCGGGGACTTCCTGCATGTGAGGATGTGTAGCCATGGAGACAAATGGGTAAAATCTATTGACTACACGCTAAAAGCCGAGAAACTAGATTGGGTTGAGATGAAAAAGGGGGAGGGGGGGGGGATGAAGGGGGGGGGGGGAGAGATACATGGTTATGTGCTATTAATTATTAGTTTATGTAACGATTTAATTGAAAGCATTGAAATGCATAATATGATTGCCTGAATAGAAATTCTCATGTGAAGTATTATTTAAAGAAAACATTTTTACTAAACGTTTCAGTCGTTGTGTTTACATAAAATTCAAAGCGTGGCCCGACCTATTACACCATCACTGTTCCAACATGAAGGATTCCACTCCTCACTAGAGGGGACCATCAACAAACTGAAGGTCTGTACCATTGTCCTATTGTAGGGGACCATCAACAAACTGAAGGTCTGTACCATTGTCCTATTGTAGGGGACCATCAACAAACTGAAGGTCTGTACCACTGTCCTATTGTAGGGGACCATCAACAAACTTAAGGTCTGTACCACTGTCCTATTGTAGGGGACCATCAACAAACTGAAGGTCAGTACCATTGTACTATTGTAGGGGACCATCAACAAACTGAAGGTCTGTACCACTGTCCTATTGTAGGGGACCATCAACAAACTGAAGGTCAGTACCATTGTCCTATTGTAGGGGACCATCAACAAACTGAAGGTCTGTACCACTGTCCTATTGTAGGGGACCATCAACAAACTGAAGGTCAGTACCATTGTCCTATCGTAGGTGACCATCAACAAACTGAAGGTCAGTACCATTGTCCTAAGTTAGTATTGTAGGGGACCATCAACAAACTGAAGGTCAGTACCATTGTCCTATTTTAGGGGACCATCAACAAACTGAAGGTCAGTACCATTGTCTTAAGTTAGTATTGTAGGGGACCATCAACAAACTGAAGGTCAGTAACATTGTCCTATTTTAGGGGACCATCAACAAACTGAAGGTCTGTACCACTGTCCTATTTTAGGGGACCATCAACAAACTGAAGGTCAGTACCACTGTCCTATTGTAGGGGACCATCAACAAACTGAAGGTCAGTACCATTGTCCTATTTTAGGGGACCATCAACAAACTGAAGGTCTGTACCACTGTCCTATTTTAGGGGACCATCAACAAACTGAAGGTCAGTAACATTGTCCTATTTTAGGGGACCATCAACAAACTGAAGGTCAGTACCACTGTCCTATTTTAGGAGACCATCAACAAACTGAAGGTCAGTACCACTGTCCTATTTTAGGGGACCATCAACAAACTGAAGGTCAGTACCATTGTCCTATTTTAGGGGACCATCAACAAACTGAAGGTCAGTAACATTGTCCTATTTTAGGGGACCATCAACAAACTGAAGGTCAGTACCACTGTCCTAAGTTTGTATTGGAGGGGACCATCAACAAACTGAAGTCTGTATTGACGTTTAGACTATATGTAACTTAAAGTCAGTATTAAAATAAATCAAGAAACCTGGGTTCGTCTTTATCTACCTTCGAGTATTTTTTTGGCGAATTCCCCCCTCCCCTTTCCCCTTCAATAAATACACTCTTGAATACATTTAAAATGTCGGCTTCTCTATAAAAACCCCACAAAATTAACAGGCGATTCACATTATAACTGAAATTATCCCATTTAATGGTTGGCTTTGTTTATTTACGACCAATGATGTTTCGAACTAGCAGTCAAATATTTTGATAAAATTAACACCAATAGTCAGTTTAGTGTAGCCATCGCTACAAACAGATTCTGACTTGTTTACACTGTAACCACCACTAACATATTCTCGCTACAACTCTAACCACCACTAACATATTCTCGCTACCTCTCTATAACCACTAACATTCTCGCTACAACTGTAACCACTACAACGATACACATTCATACCTACACCCTAACCGCCTGCAGATTCCAGTTACGATCTAACATGTTAAAATGATTTCAGGATTCAGGATTTGGTGTGAATGTGAGCCAACCATCCCACAACCCTCCTCTCTCAGTGGTGATTACAACCCTACAGACGTACCTAGATAAGGATATCTACACGGCTTATAACGGCGACGGCATCTTCTGGGCCAGCAGCCCTAAAATAGGTGACGTCATCGACTTTGTCTTTGACCAGCCGGCTAACCTACACAGGTAAATACTAGAGGCGTATCTAATGGGGAGGGGGGTTCTGGGGAAAGGGGGAATCAAGTAACACTTAAATAGGGAAGTGTTAGATGTTTTACAATGCCGAAGAGTTTAAATATTGAATATGAAATGCAGCTTTACCACCTCCTTATAACATGAACCCTTGTATCAGGCTATCTATATCATGAACCCTTGTATCAGGCTACCTATATCATGAACCCTTGTATCAGGCTACCTATATCATGAACCCTTGTATCAGGCTACCTATATCATGAACCCTTGTATCCGGATACCTATATCATGAACCCTTGTATCCGGATAGTATCGTAGAAAGCTTTAATATCTCCTTATAACATGAATCCTTGTATCCGGCTACCTATAATGTGAACCCTTATATCCGGCTAACTATAACATGCCCTATAATATGAACCCTTGTATCCGGATAGGATCGTCATAACCAGCGGAAACGCCGACCACGAAGGCGACATCCTACGCGATGCCTCTATAGAAGTACTGCCAGAGAAACAGCTGGACAGGAACATGACGCAAGGCCCCCGGTCCTTCTCTGACCAGGAGCGATTGGCCAACAAAAAGAGAGCCAACTACCTGCCCCAACTTGACCCTGAGTACGACACGTTCTACACACTCGGGGCGTGCGACTACAACGGCAGCATTGATGTGCAAGTCCCGCAACAGCTCGGGAGAATTTGGATCGTGCGAATCGTCTTCCATTCTAGCTCGCCGACCTGGCTGATTATAAATAAGGTACGGAACATTTGTAGAATTCAATGTGCAAATATATTTCGTGTTCATCCTATCTTCTATAACTTGTAAAATTCACTTATTAAAATTCGTTAACAAAATAATTACATTGTTTCGTTTAACTGAAGGAAAATTACTTTTAAAAATAAACGTTTCCTCATTAACATCGTCCATGTTTTATACTCCAGTGAATCTCCGCGCAATATCTATACATTAATTGTTTTGTATATTACGGTTGTTTTCTTTTTAAAAATTTCAGATTGAAATGCGAGTTGGAAAGCATTAGTCCAGTATTTAAACAGATGGAGATAATGGCAACTGTTTTACTCATTCCAGAAAAATCTTTGTGTAAATAGCATCACTTTTGGTATTTAAGATTATCACCCCCCCCCCGTCACAATATTATACCCCTACAAAATGACGTCACACATCGGCCTCCCATCCTCATTAAAACTTTACTAATTCTAATCAGTATTAACTATTATGCTGCTTTAATTGGAGATCTGAACCAGCTTCAAAACTTCAGAACATTACTTTTTAAATTACAATTTACAAAAAACCAAAAAAATGAATATTTCCTGCAGTTTGGCTGACAGTTTTTAAAAAAAATGTTACGTCACACTTGCTCCTCCCCCCCCCTTCCTCTCGTGACAAAAGACTGACCCTATCCCCATGAGTGTGACGTCGTATAAAAGCGAATCCTGTGGTGAAAATGCTATTCTTCAGATTCTTTCATATCGTTCATCCATTGTTTATAGATCTACCTGTCCATTTTAAATATCTTATTCATTGTTGAAAATATATAAAATAAATAATTTGTGTGAGCTGAGCATCTTTTTTTTCGACATCTTCTATTTATGTATATGTAGAATTATTTCACATGTTGAAAAATAAAAGCACACTGTTCTGAAATAATTTGTGTTCTCAAAATATAAACAGCATTTTTTTCCTAAAAAACATGTTTGGTTCTGTGTTAAAAATTTTTCATGAAGAAACATGTTTGATTGTCATTATTATTTTTAGTTTAAAAAATGTTGAAGCAAATGATAAGAAACAGCCTTGGTATTTCAGAATGACATAGTCACGCTATGAGGTGGTTCTAGTACCTAACGATTACCCAAAAATAACTCAACTGACAAATAATGAAAAAAAAAAAAGAAAAACAGCCTATCGGAACTGGCGGTCAATATGGCAGGTGAAGTAGAGTTCAACGGTTTCCAAGACCTCGCAGCCTTTATTTTTCCTAACGTGAGTCAGGTGTTCATCAAACCTAGGTGGACTCTGGGCCGTCCTGTGGATTGGAATCCGGTATCCAAACTCTTTAATTTTGGGTAAAACAACTAGAAAAATAAAAAAAAAACATCATTTTCCATGCTTCTCATATACATTCAAAATAGAATCAATTTCGATGTCGATATTTAAGTTTTTCAATTAATAAGTAAACATTTCATAAGCTAAATACTTTCCGATATTTATTTATTTTTATTTAATACATGTTGACGTTAAACCATGCTTTTTAAGCATATTTTTATTTTCAATAATAAAACAAATATTATGACAAATATTAAACCGTTCTGTACTCAAGGGTATTACAGACCATCAGCTACTGAAATATATAAAGTGGATTTTGTTAATCAATAAAAAAGTATGTAATATAGCTATGCCTTTTCTGTTTCAATGTACATTAAATTTTTTTAATTGAATAAAAGTTGACAAGTAGAACATTAAATACAAAGCTTACATTATATACACGCATATTTATCCATTTAATAAACAATCAACAAACTAATGGATATTTAATTAAAATTGTAATATTGTTTTCATAGAAAATATTTGGATGTTGTCTCCCTTGGATAGTTTTTGAGTCATCGACAGAAAGTAATCATTAAAAAATAAAGTTGGGAGACAATATTTTTATTTAATTTTAATTAATTCTGGTTTGTAAAATGTGCTTTTCCGAACGTTCTTCCATAACAATATCATTTAAGCTATTTAGAGTGAAGTAAAGAATTTTTTTCAGACCTGACCTACACATGAAGAGTTCACATACTTTTACAAGCTCTAACATGCTTCCTATGTCTGTCGACTTTCGTTTTGGCAATAGAGAGCTTTACATCTCAGATATGGGCAGCCGTTAAATACTGGGCGACGACGTGGGTGTAGGCATGTAAATGGGAGGCAATTCGGAAAAATCAAATTTAGACTATTTCAAACAGTTATTTCCCTTAGATTCAATAATGTATTTTCTGCAACGATTAATTAAAAAAACAAACAAGTGCAGAAACTAAAACATAAAAAGATTAAAAATACAAAAGATACTTTTAAAAAACATAAATTCAAGTTAACCGTAACATTTAAATATAATTATTATCCGTTATATTTTAAAAACAAATTTTGTTTTTAAATATTATCCTTATATAACAAGACAGGGGTAGCTACTCTAAAGTACCAACACATTAAATGGAATGTTGGGTGCAAGGTTAGACACACATTTTTACGATAGTTTCTGACTCGGCACAAATAAGAATGTTTGTATTTTGAATTCTTAAATTTAACTTTGTATTTAAGCTTTCTGAATTTTTAATAATATTATAAATTTACACCAAATACTAGATCTATTTCTTGAGTAGGTTTTACGACTTCTTTGTATTTAAAACCATTTGATGCCAGATTTTCGTACAAATAGTGGTTAAATTTAATAAATATAGAATCTAGAATGTTTTTAAAAAGTTATCAATCTAGATCTACTTATACTGTATAGTGTCTTTATCCGATATATATTCAAACTAAAATAAATATTAGTATTTTTATTATAAACATGATCAATTACATATTATTATTATGAATTTAAAAGCAAAAAGTTGGCATAATGATAAGTTAGATTAGAAGCCAATTGTTTATTAAATTATTATTATGCCAACACATTTTCTCTAATAATTTAACGAAAATAGAAATATAGCATACAAATATGAATGTACAAAATAAGTAAAAAAAATCAATGCTAGGCTGATACGTTACATATTACATAAACTATGATAAACTCTATTATAAATATTGTGTATGTTTTGAAACTTTGATTGCAAAATAAAATTATTTGCGTTAACTCCCCTTATTGACCATATCAAGGGAAGCTACCCTCGTAAAGATATTTTGTTTTATTATTTGTACGTATATTGTCCCTTTGATTACATTGGCTGATGTTCAAATTCAATTCAATAATAGGACAAAAAGATTTCTGATAGTTATCAGCAATGAAGCCAAGCAAAAATAATTCTGACATGTTAAGCTTGAAATTCTAGCTGTAGCACAATACATTTAATAGGGTTGGAGTAATGGGAATGGCCTATCAAACAAATCCCTAGAAAATTATATATATATTATTATATTGTAAATAATTTTCTAGGGTTTATATTAGTATATTTATATTATCTGGGGTATACTAAAGCCACAGTGAAACTTTCACGTACATAATTTAATCAATAAACAAATCAAGTTTTAAGAACTACATTAAAAATTTAAAGAAGTTGTATAGGGTGAAAATTACATTGCTGTTAAGGGGTCATCCATAAATGACGTCACACTTTTTTTGATGATTTTTACCTCCCCCCCTCCCCTCCGTCACACATCGTCACAAAAAGCCAGACCCCCCCCCCCCCTAAAATGACGTCACACCTCAACCTATAACACCCCTCAAAATTGCAGTTGAATTTTTTTAAAACATCGATATTTTTCAAAAATCTTGTCTAAACTATTACAATGTATTAAAACAGTTATCTAAAACGCGAAATAATGTTTAAAATTCGTTTTCTAACATTGCCTTTTTTATAATGCAAAAATGTGACGTCGCAACATCTGAATCCCCCTCCCCCCCCTCATCACACATCGTCACAAAATTACGGACCCCCCTCCCCCCTACGAGTGTGACGTCATTTATGGATGACCCCTAACCTTATACACACCTGCATATTTTTACCTAGATATAAAATTTGTTTTGGAATATTCAGATGCTGTCCGCATCAGTACTGAGAAATCCAAGGATGCTCAAGCTCAGCAGAAAATTGTTTCACAGTGAAACACATAAACATTACTGTGCATATAGTAAAAAAATATTGTGGAGAACTGAGAACGAACTTATGAGATTCTCACACAAAAGATGCTCAAACACAAGCAAGTGGACCAGAACTTTGTGCAGCACTGCACATCCATGCAATAACTTAGCAATCATTCCAGGAAATACTGACCGCTACAATGGACTTTGGGTTGACCTTATACAACTTGATGAAATCATTTCTACGGAAGAAAGGTTCGAACAATTATTAAAATGTAAGTGGAACGCCTTTCCATGTATTTAATTTGTAAAAAATAGGTTTCAATATGTAAAACAACCTTTACAAAAATACTTTACGTTACTTAAAACAATGGCATCCAAGCATTGAATTAGCAGGAGTATCTGCAAATTGATGCCGGAATTTAAATATATGTAAATATATTTAAAACTTTGATTATCTTTATTGATCATAGATATTTAATTAAAAATGAGCAAAATATAACACAAGATTTTTAATTTGTAATTATCAAAACTATTTTGAGAACTACAGTCAAAATATAAATATTTTTCTAGCATCGCTAGAGTCTTGGCGAGCCCAGTGTATCACATCAGTGTGGATCAAACTGTCGCTTTCTCAGGGCGGTTTGATCGCCATTGCCTCAAAGTTTGGCTTCAAGTTCCACCATGCTGAAGGGGATGTTGCCACTATAACTAAGTGGATGGATGACTCCACTGAGAACAAGATTCCACCTTTTGCCACCCATCAAGTTGGAGTTTCAGGTCAGAAAAATTCTGGTCCAGAATTTTCGGTTCAAATATTCTAGTACAAATCCAAAAGGATTCATAAATTATTATTTAAAAATAAGAAATTTTCTTATACTTACACTTTACATTTTAACTATATTTTTTAAAACTATAAATAAATGTGTTTAAGTAAATTAGTCTTTAAGCTAATTGCATGATTCATTTTTAATAGAATAATTTATATTACTTTTTAAAAATGTGAATTTACCTGTGCTAAGTTTTTAGGCAATGAATGATGATTAGTTTTGACATGATTGTTTCAGGTCTTGTTGTGAAAGAGGATACACAGGAAGTTCTTGTGGTTCAGGATAAAAATAGACCTGTGAGCTAATTAACTTTAAAAAAATATTATTATCTATAAAAGCAGGTTAAATAATAAACTGAATCGTTAATTATTCCTACAGCTCGTTTTAGAGTTTTTAATGAAGTTTATTGTTAAAATTTCCAGACTTATTTTTTATTTTGATTGCTAGGTCTCTGTTTTCCACTCTGTTTCCATCACTACTTTAATTCTTATTTACTTATATTTCGCTAATTATTATTATTATTATGTTATAGTTTTGTTTATTTTAAAAAACTTTACTACTGTTTATTTAGAAGTTGACCTCACTGGCATGATAAGGAGGGGGTGTATGGGGGTGTTATAACATGAGTGATCCCCCAAGTTGAAGGTTATTCAAAATTAAGCTGCTGAAACTATTGGCAATGGTTCCCTTTTGTTTTATACATACTATTTCTTAATTTTAATTGACATACCAACGCCAATTTTACCCTCTTTAAATTATTTATGTTCAAATATATGGACATCCCCCCTCCCCTCTCATGGTGAGTTCAGTAAAAACATTTACTTATGTTCATGTTGTAGGGGCCCTCATGCTAACATTTTTTTTTTCAGTACACCTTGTGGAAATTTCCTGGTGGCTTGTCACAACTTGGGGAGGACATTGGTAATTCTTATCATTTTGTCATTGGTGAAAAATCTGGTATTTTTTGGACATTGGTAATTCTTATAATTTTGTCAGTGGTTGAAAAATGTAGTATTTTTTGGACAGTGGTAATTCTTATCATTTTGTCATTGGTGAAAAATGTAGTATTTTTTGGACATTGGTAATTCTTATCATTTTGTCATTGGTTGAAAAATGTAGTATTTTTTGGACATTGGTAATTCTTATCATTTTGTCATTGGTGAAAAATCTAGCATTTTTTGGACATTGCATTTTTTGGACATTGGTAATTCTAATCATTTTGTCATTGGTGAAAAATCTAGCATTTTTTGGAAAGTGGTAATTCTTATCATTTTGTCATTGGTGAAAAATCTAGCATTTTTTGGACATTGGTAATTCTTATAATTTTGTCAGTGGTTGAAAAATGTAGTATTTTTTGGACAGTGGTAATTCTTATCATTTTGTCATTGGTGAAAAATGTAGTATTTTTTGGACATTGGTAATTCTTATCATTTTGTCATTGGTTGAAAAATGTAGTATTTTTTGGACATTGGTAATTCTTATCATTTTGTCATTGGTGAAAAATCTAGCATTTTTTGGACATTGCATTTTTTGGACATTGGTAATTCTAATCATTTTGTCATTGGTGAAAAATCTAGCATTTTTTGGAAAGTGGTAATTCTTATCATTTTGTCATTGGTGAAAAATCTAGCATTTTTTGGACATTGGTAATTCTTATCATTTTGTCAGTGGTGAAAAATCTGGTATTTTTTGGACATTGGTAATTCTTATCATTTTGTCATTGGTGAAAAATCTGGTATTTTTTGGACATTGGTAATTCTTATCATTTTGTCAGTGGTGAAAAATCTGGTATTTTTTGGACATTGGTAATTCTTATCATTTTGTCAGTGGTGAAAAATCTGGTATTTTTTGGACATTGGTAATTCTTATCATTTTGTCAGTGGTTGAAAAATGTAGTATTTTTTGGACAGTGGTAATTCTTATCATTTTGTCATTGGTGAAAAATGTAGTATTTTTTGGACATTGGTAATTCTTATCATTTTGTCATTGGTTGAAAAATGTAGTATTTTTTGGACATTGGTAATTCTTATCATTTTGTCATTGGTGAAAAATCTAGCATTTTTTGGACATTGCATTTTTTGGACATTGGTAATTCTAATCATTTTGTCATTGGTGAAAAATCTAGCATTTTTTGGAAAGTGGTAATTCTTATCATTTTGTCATTGGTGAAAAATCTAGCATTTTTTGGACATTGGTAATTCTTATAATTTTGTCAGTGGTTGAAAAATGTAGTATTTTTTGGACAGTGGTAATTCTTATCATTTTGTCATTGGTGAAAAATGTAGTATTTTTTGGACATTGGTAATTCTTATCATTTTGTCATTGGTTGAAAAATGTAGTATTTTTTGGACATTGGTAATTCTTATCATTTTGTCATTGGTGAAAAATCTAGCATTTTTTGGACATTGCATTTTTTGGACATTGGTAATTCTAATCATTTTGTCATTGGTGAAAAATCTAGCATTTTTTGGAAAGTGGTAATTCTTATCATTTTGTCATTGGTGAAAAATCTAGCATTTTTTGGACATTGGTAATTCTTATCATTTTGTCAGTGGTGAAAAATCTGGTATTTTTTGGACATTGGTAATTCTTATCATTTTGTCATTGGTGAAAAATCTGGTATTTTTTGGACATTGGTAATTCTTATCATTTTGTCAGTGGTGAAAAATCTGGTATTTTTTGGACATTGGTAATTCTTATCATTTTGTCAGTGGTGAAAAATCTGGTATTTTTTGGACATTGGTAATTCTTATCATTTTGTCAGTGGTTGAAAAATGTAGTATTTTTTGGACAGTGGTAATTCTTATCATTTTGTCATTGGTGAAAAATGTAGTATTTTTTGGACATTGGTAATTCTTATCATTTTGTCATTGGTTGAAAAATGTAGTATTTTTTGGACATTGGTAATTCTTATCATTTTGTCATTGGTGAAAAATCTAGCATTTTTTGGACATTGCATTTTTTGGACATTGGTAATTCTAATCATTTTGTCATTGGTGAAAAATCTAGCATTTTTTGGAAAGTGGTAATTCTTATCATTTTGTCATTGGTGAAAAATCTAGCATTTTTTGGACATTGGTAATTCTTATAATTTTGTCAGTGGTTGAAAAATGTAGTATTTTTTGGACAGTGGTAATTCTTATCATTTTGTCATTGGTGAAAAATGTAGTATTTTTTGGACATTGGTAATTCTTATCATTTTGTCATTGGTTGAAAAATGTAGTATTTTTTGGACATTGGTAATTCTTATCATTTTGTCATTGGTGAAAAATCTAGCATTTTTTGGACATTGCATTTTTTGGACATTGGTAATTCTAATCATTTTGTCATTGGTGAAAAATCTAGCATTTTTTGGAAAGTGGTAATTCTTATCATTTTGTCATTGGTGAAAAATCTAGCATTTTTTGGACATTGGTAATTCTTATCATTTTGTCAGTGGTGAAAAATCTGGTATTTTTTGGACATTGGTAATTCTTATCATTTTGTCATTGGTGAAAAATCTGGTATTTTTTGGACATTGGTAATTCTTATCATTTTGTCAGTGGTGAAAAATCTGGTATTTTTTGGACATTGGTAATTCTTATCATTTTGTCAGTGGTGAAAAATCTGGTATTTTTTGGACATTGGTAATTCTTATCATTTTGTCAGTGGTTGAAAAATGTAGTATTTTTTGGACAGTGGTAATTCTTATCATTTTGTCATTGGTGAAAAATGTAGTATTTTTTGGACATTGGTAATTCTTATCATTTTGTCATTGGTTGAAAAATGTAGTATTTTTTGGACATTGGTAATTCTTATCATTTTGTCATTGGTGAAAAATCTAGCATTTTTTGGACATTGCATTTTTTGGACATTGGTAATTCTAATCATTTTGTCATTGGTGAAAAATCTAGCATTTTTTGGAAAGTGGTAATTCTTATCATTTTGTCATTGGTGAAAAATCTAGCATTTTTTGGACATTGGTAATTCTTATAATTTTGTCAGTGGTTGAAAAATGTAGTATTTTTTGGACAGTGGTAATTCTTATCATTTTGTCATTGGTGAAAAATGTAGTATTTTTTGGACATTGGTAATTCTTATCATTTTGTCATTGGTTGAAAAATGTAGTATTTTTTGGACATTGGTAATTCTTATCATTTTGTCATTGGTGAAAAATCTAGCATTTTTTGGACATTGCATTTTTTGGACATTGGTAATTCTAATCATTTTGTCATTGGTGAAAAATCTAGCATTTTTTGGAAAGTGGTAATTCTTATCATTTTGTCATTGGTGAAAAATCTAGCATTTTTTGGACATTGGTAATTCTTATAATTTTGTCAGTGGTGAAAAATCTGGTATTTTTTGGACATTGGTAATTCTTATCATTTTGTCATTGGTGAAAAATCTGGTATTTTTTGGACATTGGTAATTCTTATCATTTTGTCAGTGGTGAAAAATCTGGTATTTTTTGGACATTGGTAATTCTTATCATTTTGTCAGTGGTGAAAAATCTGGTATTTTTTGGACATTGGTAATTCTTATCATTTTGTCATTGGTGAAAAATCTGGTATTTTTTGGACATTGGTAATTTTAATCATTTTGTCATTGGTGAAAAATCTAGCATTTTTTGGACATTGCATTTTTTGGACATTGGTAATTCTTATCATTTTGTCAGTGGTGAAAAATCTGGTATTTTTTGGACATTGGTAATTCTTATCATTTTGTCATTGGTGAAAAATCTAGCATTTTTTGGACATTGCATTTTTTGGACATGGGTAATTCTAATCATTTTGTCATTGGTTGAAAAATGTAGTATTTTTTGGACATAGGTAATTCTTATCATTTTGTCATTAGTTAAAAAATCTAGCATGTTTTGGACATCTGTAATTCTTATCATTTTGTCATTGGTTGAAAAATCTAGTCTTTTTTGGACATTTGGTAATTCTTATCATTTTGTCATTGGTTGAAAAATCTAGTCTTTTTTGGACATTAGTATTTCTAATCATTTTTTCAATGCAATGGTTTAAAAATCTAGCATTTTTTGGAATTTTGTAATTCTAATCATTTTGTCATTGGTCTAAAAATCTATTTAAGTCAGTGACTCTATTGGCAACTGCATTCATTATAATGGTAATTTTTGAATTAAATGCATTCATTATAACAGTAATTTTTGAATCAACTGCATTCATTATAATGGTAATTGTATAATTAACTGCAGTCATTATTATTTTAATTGACAGCTGTCACTGCAGAAAGAGAGGTGTATGAGGAGACAGGTGTGAAAACAGGTAAACTTTGTCTGATTGGTAGTGCTAATTATTAATTAACAGATCACTTCTTTTTTTGGATTTCTCTATTGTCTGTAGTACTGTAAATCCAGGTTTGTTTCCTTTGTAAGAGACTTTGTTTAAGTGATGTCTCAAGGGCGTAGGGTGGGATAGGAACTTGTGACGGGAGAGGTGTTGTGTTCAGAAAGAGGACCATTACAATTTTGCATATTAAAAAGTAATAATTTCCAGTTGATATTTTTAATTATTTTAAAATTTTAATAAACATTGATCACAATACAAAATATAAACCCAGCTCAGTTTAAATGTTTGAGAAATCAATGGTTCATTTACAAACTTTGTAGTGGGGGGGGGGGGGGGGGGACAGGCTCATGTGTAACCTTTTAGGTAAACTAAAGGTGGTAAAATCATAAAAAACGAATGTTGCCATTTATAGACAATCCCCGTATAAGTCTAAAGTCTACTTCATAAGCTAACTTTTAAGTCCAATAACAAGTACATTATTCCCCATCGTTTTCATTTAACAACACTTTTCTAAAAGCATTAATATTAAACACATTGATTAACTTCTAAAAGAATTTGACACTGTTGGTAAATGACCTGGCATAAGATTTTTCAACTCATTTGAAGCCAGATATTATAAAATCCTATCTTTACCACTGTTGGTAGCTTCCAGTTTAACCACAGTCCCATCCCTAGTCTAGAGTGATGATTTACTGATCTATTCATAGTTTAACCACAGTCCCATCCCTAGTCTAGAGTGATGATTTACTGATCTATTCATAGTTTAACCACAGTCCCATCCCTAGTCTAGAGTGATGATTTACTGATCTATTCATAGTTTAACCACAGTCCCATCCTTAGTCTAGAGTGATGATTCAATGATCGATTCATAGTTTAACCCCAGTCCCATCCCTAGTCTAGAGTGATGATTTACTGATAAATTCATAGTTTAACCCCTGTCCCGTCCTTAGTCCACAGTGATGATTCACTGGTCGATTCATAGTTTAACCACAGTCCCATCCTTAGTCCACAGTGATGATTCAATGATCGATTCATAAAGTGTTCTTTACATTCTCAAATGTTTGTCAAATTTATTATTTGACAACTAATTCATCTAGAAAAAAAAAAGCAGAGGTTTGGAGAACTTTTTTGAAGCCAAACTTGTTTTGTATTGATTTATACGTCTGTGTTGATCAAAGCAAAAAATAAATATTGGCCGACCAAGTCTAGATTTGGCTACTGAGAAATGTATTATTGTTGTAGCTGTATTTGTCAGCACCCCCGATTCTCGCGCCCTCCACGCGAACATCGCTCCGGCTGTTCCAATATTTGCCCGGCCCGAGACTGAGGACACACACCCCGGGGACTTTGAGCGCGCACGTCCGTCGGTCCGGCTGATCACTTGTGGCGAGTAGGACCCTCACGTCTGCGATACCCCCGGTAAACATCTTACGACGAGGAATATGATTTTTGTGCCACTGAACCAGCCGCACGGGGCTAATGTTCGGCTGCCCGGTGTGTCAACATCTGGCCATGTTGTTTGCTGTAGTTCGGCTCGCGTCTGCTTGTCGTCGGGGTCCCGGTTTGGACAAATTCAATTTTTACCACTTAACACTGATTGGCCTATGACGTCAGAGGCTAGTCCTTAAACTGTTTCAAATGGGTTCAAAAAAATTATTAGCCCGTTAGAAATGTTCCGGGCCATTTTTTTACTTGACAAAACTTGAACCTAGTTTCTCCAGTAGTTGGAGAAGACGGGGCTACTAAGTGTGTCTAACACGCTTTAAAAAAAGTTTTATCGACATTTTTAGCCTTTTCTCATCCGTAATTCAAGTTGTCACAGTTGTCATCAGTTCGGTCAGTGGATTTATTTTTCATACTCAACCAGTGTTTCTTCCAGACTTTTTTCTCCGGGGGGGGGGGGGGGGCACTTGAAATTTTCGGGGGGGGGGGGCGGTAAACTTTCTTCGGGGGGGGGGGGGGCGGACACTGTTAAAAGTATATATCTACTATATAAATTATATAAATTTCATTTCTTTCGGGGGGGGGGGGGGGCGGTAAAAAATTTTCGGGGGGGGGGGGGGGGGGGCCAAAGCCCCCCGAAGAGATGCCTGGAAGAAATTCTGTACTCAACTAACCGGGGGTGGGCTGGCTGTGGCCAAGTGGCCCGGGAGATTTTAACCCCCCCCCCCCCACACACACACACACAAACCCAGATTAAAATTTTCAATGGGAATTTGTGTTTTTTTTCTCTTCATCAAAGCCTGAATTTTACGCCCTAGTATGAAATAGTGCTATTGGAAAAATACTAACAAATTATAAAACAACTAAACACCAATAGGATTATTACAGCACCGCTCCTGGGGCCCACCGAGATTTTTCCCTGTAACACGGCAGGGCAGTCCACCCCACCCCTGTAACTGATTGAGTTACCAGCCTTTTCTTTATTACCTCCCCTACGAATGTATCAAGTATATTGTCTTAAGGACACGGGACTCTAAGGATTAATAACTCTTCATGGGGCCCATTATAGGGTTTGACCCTCTAAAGATTTAAATTACCTTTACGTTTGTAGTGCGGCCCTACTAGCACATCATAAAGTATGTTACAACCAGCGACCCCACTAGATCTAGCACCTCACTGAGTTTGTTACAATCAGCGGCCCTACTAGCACATCATAAAGTATGTTACAACCAGCGACCCCACTAGATCTAGCACCTCACTGAGTTTGTTACAATCAGCGGCCCTACTAGCACATCATAAAGTATGTTACAACCAGCGACCCCACTAGATCTAGCACCTCACAGAGTATGTTACAACCAACGACCCCACTAGATCTAGCACCTCACAGAGTATGTTACAATCAGCGACCCCACTAGCACCTCACAGAGTATGTTACAACCAGCGACCCCACTAGATCTAGCACCTCACAGAGTATGTTACAATCAGCGACCCCACTAGCACCTCACAGAGTATGTTACAATCAGCGACCCCACTAGATCTAGCACCTCACAGAGTATGTTACAATCAGCGACCCCACTAGATCTAGCACCTCACAGAGTATGTTACAATCAGCGACCCCACTAGATCTAGCACCTCACAGAGTATGTTACAATCAGCGACCCCACTAGATCTAGCACCTCACAGAGTATGTTACAATCAGCGACCCCACTAGATCTAGCACCTCACAGAGTATGTTACAATCAGCGACCCCACTAGCACCTCACAGAGTATGTTACAATCAGCGACCCCACTAGATCTAGCACATCACAGAGTATGTTACAATCAACGACCCCACTAGCACCTCACAGAGTATGTTACAATCAGCGACCCCACTAGATCTAGCACCTCACAGAGTATGTTACAATCAGCGACCCCACTAGCACCTCACAGAGTATGTTACAATCAGCGACCCCACTAGAGATCTAGCACCTCACAGAGTATGTTACAATCAGCGACCCCACTAGCACCTCACAGAGTATGTTACAATCAGCGACCCCACTAGATCTAGCACATCACAGAGTATGTTACAATCAACGACCCCACTAGCACCTCACAGAGTATGTTACAATCAGCGACCCCACTAGATCTAGCACCTCACAGAGTATGTTACAATCAGCGACCCCACTAGCACCTCACAGAGTATGTTACAATCAGCGACCCCACTAGAGATCTAGCACCTCACAGAGTATGTTACAATCAGCGACCCCACTAGCACCTCACAGAGTATGTTACAATCAGCGACCCCACTAGAGATCTAGCACCTCACTGATTATGTTAAAACCAGCGACCCCACTAGCACCTCACAGAGTATGTTACAATCAGCGACCCCACTAGAGATCTAGCACATCACATAGTATGTTACAATCAGCGACCCCACTAGATCTAGCACCTCACAGAGTATGTTACAACCAGCGACCCCACTAGAGATCTAGCACCTCACAGAGTATGTTACAACCAGCGACCCCACTAGATCTAGCACCTCACAGAGTATGTTACAACCAGCGACCCCACTAGATCTAGCACAGTGGTTCCCAACCTTTTTCGAGTGGCGACCCCCTATTATAAAAAGTAAGTGACCCGCGACCCCCATAGAATTAAAAAACCGAAATTAGTATGGAAAGTAATAAGCACTAAAATAAGATTTTCTAGTAGACTTTCAATATGAACTACTCTTGATAACTGTTTTAATAGCATGAGTAAAATTGCATACTATTCACTAAACCTTCGTGGTTAAGTTTTTAATTTTTAAAAAAATTGTTAACGCCAACCTATTTCATTATAATTATCTTAATTTTGATTTTAATGGAAGAATAGTGTTGTAAATATATTCTCGAAAAGTCAATCAATTTTACGTTTGGGTATGAATGGTGAATACTACACCAAAATTGTATCTGCAGTTTTTCATCTTACTCGGAATCATTCTGCAAATCAAAGAAATCATCTTGTAATTCAATGGGAATGCTGGCAACATCAAGGGAAGAAGAGAATGGGTAATGCGTAAATGCAGATTCTTCTTTTTTCAGCTCAGAGAAATAGCGATGCAGTTCGTTTTCAAGAGATTCAAGATGCCCAGAAATAGCTTCTTTCAAAATTTTAATTATCTCACAATCAGATCTATCAACCACACCGCAGATTTTCTCAAATTTACAATATTTCCAAGATTTATTTTCTTTACCGATTTTGCAGCTCATGGAAAGTTATAATATTCGTTCATTTTCCCTGAATCTTCAGGTTAAGCTTATCTTGATGTTAGAACACATCTGCTAGGTATGATACTCTCTCCAACCACTCTATGTCGTTTTAAGTATACCAAAAAGTCTTGTTTCCTTTTAATTCCAAGAACAATTTGATTTCAGATTTCAATTTAAAAACACAATCTACAACATTTCGTTTGACAGCCAGCGTACTGTAGTGTAGAAGAGCAGAACCTCGTGATCTATATTAATGTTTTTGCTCAGTTCTTTGAAGGCTCCAGATTTTATATAATTTACGACATACTAGCAATGGACTCTTGATGTCGATTGGTTAGAGCAGTGGTTAGGGAGCTAAATCTTTTCTGTTTTCTGAAAGCCCGATTTTGAGCTAAACATAGATGGCGCACCATCCTTACAAACCCCCACAGCCGTTCTAACCCATTTTAATCATCCCGTTTTAAAAAAAAACATATTTATTTTCTCCATGCTATCTTCACAAAATAGCAACTTCTTTTCTATCATCCGCATGAATATAGACACAGACCAGCAACTGCAAACACGAACTCACGTCTGTTGATTTATCAACTTGAAAAGCAAACAATGGTGAAAGCTTAATTTCGATAAAAATGTGTTATTTAACATTTACGTACATGCAGCGTTTGATGAGATTGTCTCCTATTGTTTTTTTTTTTTTTTTGCTTGGCCTTTTCTATCGCGACTTCATTTGATGCTTGCACTAATCCTGGTGAAAACTTCCTATTCGATCAAGTCTCTGGCGTTTGCAACTAACTTCTTACCGACGAAAGAACTCCATATATTTGTTGGTGTGTTCCGAATGACTCGTCTCAAATGACGTTTTAGTTTTGAAGATTTCATAGATTCGTGACTGTGAACAACTTTGTACAGTGCGCTTTGTTTCTTCTCTAGTACATTTCCAGTGATGTTAATGAAGCCGAATTTCAAAAATTCTTCTAAATATTTATGTTTTGTTTCAAATTACTAAGGTTTAGTATACCAGTTGGCGACCCCCCAGAAAGACCTTCGCGACCCCCAGGGGGGTCGCGACCCCCAGGTTGGGAACCCATGATCTAGCACCTCACAGAGTATGTTACAACCAGCGACCCCACTAGATCTAGCACCTCACAGAGTATGTTACAATCAGCGACCCCACTAGAGATGTAGCACCTCACAGAGTATGTTACAATCAGCGACCCCACTAGAGATGTAGCACCTCAGTGTTACAGAGACCTCATTAGATCTAGCACAGCGAACCCACTATTGCCCATTGGTGGTGTTGTGTCAGTGACCACACCGTGTCACCTGGTCGAGCTTGTTAGATGACTGGGTTCGGATCTTGCCATCTTTCCCGTCGTGTTCAAAATGTGTGCATCCTACTGGTAGGTCCTAATGAAATATTACATTGGTCTCTCTGACAGAATTCAAATCAGTTCTGGCATTTCGTCAGCAACATACAAGTCCTGGGGCGTTTGGTAGATCAGACTTGTACATCATATGCAGGTAGGTTGGTCAGAGGTGTACATCATATGCAGGTAGGTTGGTCAGAGATGTATATCATATGCAGGTAGGTTGGTCAGACATGCACATCATATGCAGGTAGGTTGGTCAGAGGTGTATATCATATGCAGGTATGTTGGTCAGACATGCACATCATATGCAGGTAGGTTGGTCAGAGATGTATATCATATGCAGGTAGGTTGGTCAGACATGTACATCATATGCAGGTAGGTTGGTCAGAGGTGTATATCATATGCAGGTATGTTGGTCAGACATGCACATCATATGCAGGTAGGTTGGTCAGAGATGTATATCATATGCAGGTAGGTTGGTCAGACATGTACATCATATGCAGGTAGGTTGGTCAGATGTGTATATCATATGCAGGTAGGTTGGTCAGAGGTGTATATCATATGCAGGTATGTTGGTCAGACATGCACATCATATGCAGGTAGGTTGGTCAGACTCGTACATCATATGCAGGTAGGTTGGTCAGAGATGTATATAATTTGCAGGTAGGTTGGTTAGACTCGTACATCATATGCAGGTAGGTTGGTCAGACATGTACATCATATGCAGGTAGGTTGGTCAGAGGTGTATATCATATGCAGGTAGGTTGGTTACTCGTACATCATATGCAGGTAGGTTGGTCAGACTCGTACATCATATGCAGGTAGGTTGGTCAGAGATGTACATCATATGCAGGTAGGTTGGTCATTGATCAGGCATGTATATCATATGCCATTTTTCTTTCTAAATCTTATTCTCTAAATACTTTGTTATGTGTTTTAGTTATTTCTTAGAATTACCACTTTATCATTTGTATATGTTTAGTTAATAATATCATGGGACACTATTTTTGTTGCTATGCTAGTGACACTGTTAGCAAATACTGAAAGGTTTAACAATAACACTGAACTAACATATATGCAGGATGAGGCCATTAACCTTTGACCTGCATCCCTGTCCACATGAGATCGCTGCCTGCAGGTGGATGCCCGTGGAACAGCTGAGACAGGAGGTCCAGGCGACGTCACTGACACACAAGATGGCGGAGCTGGTGATGTTGGGACTCAGGGAAGGGTTCCAGCACGTAGATATTAGTTCTTGTCAGATGGCTTCTATATACAAGGGGCTACACTTTCATATATTTCACAGACCGTTAGTTTAGGCCAAGGCTAGCTTATCAAAATAGAAACCTGTTCAACAAAGACCTATGTTCCAGATAGACCCAAATAGACCCCTGTTCCAAATAGACCCCTGTTCCGAATAGTCCCTCGTTCCAAATAGATTACTGTTCCAAATAGACCCCTGTACCTATTAGACTAGCACATACACCTAATTAAAGAACCATGATATATACTCTTTTAAAATATAGACCTTCTACTGACATAAAAAGGTGAACTCTGCTTCACTTGCCCAACGGACCGTTATAGACCCCACAGATCCAAATAGATCATAGAATCTAGAACCAGATATATCCCAGTATCGCATACAACCCTATACTTAACAGACCCCTTTTGCCTTGAACCCTGTACTAAATAAACCCCTGCATCATTTAGGCGTCCCCATCAATAATTCCCCCATACAAAGAAATCAGCGTTATTATTTCCATTACAAAAGAATGACTAAATGAAACCACAGTGTGTAATTTTTTCCTTCCTATCATAGATTTTATGCATTTAAAAATTTGTTTTCAAACATATGTCAGCCACAGTTGCCGGCTAGTTTGATTGATTTTGTTTATGTACAAAGTGGCTTTATTTTTTCTGTCATTAGCCAGGTTTTTACACATATGTCAGCCACAGTTGCCGGCTAGTTTGATTGATTTTGTTTATGGCCAAAGTGGCTTTATTTTCTCTGTCATTAGCCAGGTTTTTACACATATGTCAGCCACAGTTGCCGGCTAGTTTGATTGATTTTGTTTATGGCCAAAGTGGCTTTATTTTCTCTGTCATTAGCCAGGTTTTTACACATGTGTCAGCCAAAGTTGCCGGCTAGTTTGATTGATTTTGTTTATGGCCAAAGTTGCTTTATTTTCTCTGTCATTAACCAGGTTTTTACACCCGCCATCACCTGACCAGTTATATAAACACTATCGATTAGGCTAGGGGATGATTATGTGTCATTTTGTGTGCTGGCAGTGGTGTGGGGGTGGGAGATATTTTTGTTTTCTCACACTAGTTACATTCCGCAAATTTCGGTTCTAGTGGTCAGTTTTTGTAAAAATTTAATGTTTAGTGTAGTGTCTTCCATGTCTTACTTAAATGTCTTCCATACATCTGGTCCATGGTGATCCACTGTGCTAAACTGTGACATTGTATAGTAACCTTATACTCGACAAAAACAGAGTAAAGATGTATTTCATGCTGAGTTGATTTCGTCATGGGTGTCCAAGTATTTTGTTATGAAATAACTTGTCACGTGAAATACTATTTATAATTTCTGTGGTCTTTGATTCAGAAACTTCCAAGATATTTTCTGTTTCCCTGATACTAATAGTGACTCTCTGACTTGTGTTTTTAATGTTTGGCTTTCTGATATGGGCATCAAAGTTGCGACTCTCTTATATGGGCTCTCTTATATGAGCTCTCTTATTTTGAGGAGACTGAAAGGAAACCACTTTTTAAAAAATCCGTTTTCTACCGAATATGAATTTTTAACGAAAATACCCATTTCATATGTCTTAGATGTTCAACTTCGTGTGCCTGTTGCAGGCTAGCAGTCTAAAATCCTGAACCCAATTTCCAGCCTGCCTACACTACAGCAGCTCACTTGAAATTCTACATCTTGTTGTGTATGACGCAAATTACCAGCCCACACTTTCTATTTCTAAACTGCTTTCAAAGATGTATCTGGGATGAAATATTAATCCAATTACCGCACCACTTAAAATATTTGCGTTTGAACAATTATGAGTGTTAGCCCAGGTTAGAGAAATTTGAAAACGTTTCTGCTAATTATTCTAAACCAAACGAATCTGGTTAATTTCTCGGCCATAAATATTTAATAACCGCAACGTCGGCCGGTTCTATTCTCTCTTGTGCTGCAGCGGAAAAACTAGTATTCATCTTTCTATGACGTCACTTCCTCTTCATTCTCCCCCACATCACAAAACAGGGAGGTCAATCATTTTAATTAACACGAGCAGTGAATAACAAAATTTTTTGTGTGTGTCCGTTTTCTTGTTGATAATTTAAAAAAAAATACATTTCATTTTTTTTGTAACCAAATGTAAATATAAAAATCGCTTTTATTTAGGGTGTTTACAGTGTATCTGCATGGGTGTGAGTTGTCTTGTCAGAAGAGACACTCACACACATAGGCCTACACTCACACACACACAAATACATCGATATTGTAACTTGTTTTAAAAGAGTCTCACTTACAAATAGATAGTGTATCGTATTTAAAGTGGAGTAATTGAATGGCATAAGGTTTGGCTTTCAAGAATTGGTTGACAAAAACTAAAAAAAAAAAACTAAATATATTCTCCACATCCACTGTGACTAGCGCGACACGACATATCGCGCCTTTCCTAACAAACACAGCCATCATCACACATTCAATGGAACCTGACTTTATAGAGGCCAGTTGATTTGGCATATGTATCGATGAAGCATTTGTATTTGTTAGATACATTTTGTAATAGGAAATAAATATTTTAAATTTTTTAGACTGCTTTGATTTAAACAATATTTTGTAATGATGAAAAATTCTTTTCTAACTCCCCCCTCCCCCTCTCTCTCTTTATATGTGTATGTGTGTGTAACTTACATGTGTGTATGTCGAGACATTGATTATATAGGCCTTTATATACATATAAATGCTGTATATAATGTAGGTTTGAACTCCCACGACCTCTAGCACTACCCATTTAAATTTACCTCCTGACCTGGCCAATAATCCCATTGTTTAATCACCGAGCTGCCTAGATAAACCCACGTAGGTAGCGCGCTAACCACACAGCCCGTGCCCCTAATGCTGGCCACACGTGCTTGTTATTGCAACCCCCGGGCAGACACCAGCCCCGCGGGGAGGTGTTTCTCGTGAGCCAAGTCCGGCGTTACGGTGAGTCTAGACGGCCATGTGCGCCGCTTCCATCCTCGGGCCAATTACCGCCATCACCGTAACCCGTGGTTAATTACGGCGGATAGGGGCAGATCACTGGGTAACGCTGGTTTGTGGGGCAGATCACTGGGTAACGCTGGTTTATAGAAGGGGCAGATCACTGCAGTTACACCGGCCTATGGAAGGGGCAGATCACTGCAGTTACACCGGCCTATGGAAGGGGCAGATCACTGCAGTTACACCGGCCTATGGAAGGGGCAGATCACTACAGTAACACCGGCCTATGGCAGGGGCAGATCACTGCGACGATGTCGGCCTGCGTCAGCACCAGTTGACAAGATCTGTGTGTGGACATCTTGACCAAACACCTGTTCTAGTGTTCTAGCTGTTTCACCTAGTGTACAACTAAAACAGTGACTTGTTGCATAACATGATTCTAACATGATTAAAAAAATGTCTTCTAGACATCGAAGTAAGTTAAAGCAATTAGCAAGCCTAAACCAAATTTCCATTCAAGTTAAAAGAAAGAAAAAAAACAGCTTCTATTTAATATCACCTTTTTAATTAAAAACTCTTCAAAATAGTAATTTACATTGATGAGTCATGGTTATTGGTGCCTTGAGACTTTGCTCAAAGTATTAGAGCCATGTTGTCATCAACTTCTAGCCCAACTTTACGTTTTTAGCCAATCGAAACGTGATCAGAACATTTCTGCTAAATATCGCAATTTTTATAAAACCCCACACAATAAAACCTGCAGGAGAGGTAACTCCATTCATCTTCTATTTTTGCTTTACTGCAAAAAACATCAAACAGAAAAAACAGCGAAGATAATTTTCATCCTTATTCTGATATTAATGACGTCATCTTAAAAGCGTACGCATCCTCGCGTATTAACCTTAATCACTTTCACCCCCCCCCAATCAGGTTAGCAGAAGATCAACCGTTAGCACGCTTTGTGAGTCATACAAAAAACATCAACACACAAGCATGACTTGTTTGAAAAAATCGCGAGATACGCAACTTCCGACGTATGAGAAGGTGGCGTGTTGCTGTCGAATTGTTCAAGAACACACAGGTTAAAGTTGAGAGCACATTTTTTTTGCTGGGTGGGGGGGGGGGGGGGGGGTTTGGGGGGGGGTGTCATGTTGTACAGTCAAAGTATCACAGAGTTCATGTGTTACAACTCATCAAAGTTTCCCTGGGGTAGGGTTAAAATTATTCGAGAGTTCATGGGTTAAAACTATCAGCTATGTTTCCCTTGTTAAAACTGTAAACCATATTACGTATAGTGTGGAGGGGGTGGGATGGGGAAACACTTCACATGCTAAGGTTGATGTTTTAAATGTAATGGATACAACAGGTAGATTCCACGACAAAAAAAAAAAGATATAGAATGATTGATTGAGATATAGAGTTCGAGATACCTACAACAGTTTTGCGTTTGGACAGAGTTACCTACACAGCAATTTAGAGTGTGGACAAACGATCACATACGACAATCAATTTTGTATTAGTTGATTATGAGGGTTAGTTGAGAGAGGACTGATTTTGTGAATTTAAGGATGGTTAATTTAGAAAGGGCTACTTTAGTTGGGGGTTAATTTAGTGATGGTTAATTTGATGGCGAATTTTGTGATGGTTAATTTAGAGTTGACTAAATTAGTAGGGTTTATTTAGTGAGTGTTAATATAATGGGTAGTTAATTTAGCGAGGGTTGAGTAGGTGAGGGTTGATGTACTGAGGGTTGATGTTGCGAGGGTTGATGTAGAAAGGGTTGATGTAGCGAGGGTTGATGTAGAAAGGGTTGATGTAGCAAGGGTTGATGTAGCGAGGGTTGATGTAGCGAGGGTTGAGTTAGTGAGGATTAATGTAGCGAGGGTTGATGAAGCGAGGGTTAATGCAGCGAGGGTTGATGTAGCGAGGGTTGATGTAGCGAGGGTTGAGTTAGTGAGGATTAATGTAGCGAGGGTTGATGTAGCGAGGGTTGATGTAGCGAGGGTTGATGTAGCGAGGGTTGATGTAGCGAGGGTTGATGTAGCCAGGGTTGAGTTAGCGAGGGTTGATGTAGCGAGGGTTGATGTAGCGAGGGTTGATGTAGCCAGGGTTGAT